GGGGGGGGGGGGTAACATTCTGACCCTGAGACAGGCACGAGGAGGGGGCCACGTAGGAGCTGGGAGGGTGGAATCCCAGCTGAGTCAGCAAGTGTGTCTACCTCAAATCTTCCAGTCCTGGTTACAGGCACCCTAAGGGTGGCTGCTTGGTGCCATTGGCCTCCAAAGCCAGGTCAGTGCAGGGCCATTCTGGTCATGAGACGTACGTGGATGGCGTAAGCCCTCAGTCCAGGTACCTCAGGAAGCAGGTCTGGGGACATGACCCCTTATAACCCAGCACTGTCACTTCTTGACTGCAGTGGCCCCAGCGGGCACCTCAGGTAAGAGCAGGCCGGGGACAGCGTCCAGAAGGTGGGTCCTGTGCCCACCCCTGGAGCCCAGGAGGGGAGAGGGACTTGTCTGGTGGGCAGTGTCTGCAGTCCTCCCAGCCCCCCATCCTAGAAGAGCCACTGGGGACAGGGCAGGGAGACCTAGGGTGTCCTCCGATCTCTGGAGAACTGCAGGTCCCAGTCACCATGGACTGAAAGCCTTGGAAGGCTAAGAGTGATGCAAAGGGTGTGACTCATGGCTCTAAGGGCTTCCACCTGCTGGGACCATCCAGAGGCAAGGGAGAAGGCCCTTGCCCACTGACCACAGCCCCAGGGACTTCAGACACTCCAGTGGCCCTGCTCCCCATACACAGCTTATGGCTGGAGCAGTCTCACCCTGATGTGGACATGGCACTGCTACGGCCAGCACCCATGGTGGAGTCTGCGCTGGGACCAGCTCTGATGATGCCTCCTCCCCCACGACCTGAGCAGAGGCACTACTCTGGTCTGGTGAGCAGGACACTTACCAAGACTCGGCCGTCCAGGTGTCCCTGTGCTCCTGTTCAAGGGGGACTGTGCGCCCTGGCCAACAACTGTGGGGAGCACACCTGTCAGTGCTGGACCATGTGTGGGGACCCTGTGAGAACCCCCAGGGAGCCAGAGACACGCCCCACAGGGAGTCATGGCTGTGATTGTAGAGGCAGAGCAACCCTCAGCCCACAGTCATCCTCACAGGAAGATACTTGGGGAGAGTAGGGTCCAGGGAAAGGTGGGGCCCCCACTGCTCTGGGGATAGGAAAGGCAACTCCTGCCCATTCCTCCAGAACCTGGAGGCGTGGACTTGGTGAGAGGCAGGCCAGGTGGGTATGAGGTGGAGCTGTGGGTGGACAGGCAACCTACGGCTTCTACACTCAGAGCTGTTGTAGGTTCCGGTCCTGCACCGGATGCAGCTGGCACTCCCATCCTCGTTCCAGCGCCTGAAGCAGCCTGTGCCAACAGAGGGGAGACGGGCCTCAGCTCGAGCAAAGCCATCAGCTCACTGTGTGCTGGCGGGCGGTCTGCCTACTCGCCTGGTTTGTGAAACAGTGTTCATTCCGGAACGCTAGTTAACCTGCCCGGAAGTCAGGATGGCATCAGAGAGGCCGGGACAAGGATTTGAAGCAGACAGGTGCTGTGGGGCCTCACACTCTGGACAGGGCCTCCCGCCACCATGGCCTCGACTCCAGGGCTCACATCACCTCCACTGGGGCCTGGACGGCTACACTCCTCACTCGGTCCCAGCACTCCCTTCCACACGGAGGCTGCCACCAGCAGCCCAGCCCTCCCCAGCCAGTGGCTGATGGACAGTCCGTCTTGCCAGCTGGGAAGGAATTGTGTCCCACACCATTATCATTTAACTTCCTCACCACTTAGCACAGGCTGACAGCACACATGCTCGATGACACTGAAGGTCAGTGCTGGCCATGGACCAAAGTCCAGGGATAAGCCACAGGCCGCAGCCCCTCACAGTGAGCTTCACAGATGTTTCATCTACAGGGGCCCCCAGTGCCATCACCAGGCGTTCAGGGTGCTAACCGGGAAATTCGCCAAAGATGCCACTGCCGCCCTCACGCCACCTGAAGGGGCTGTAAGCCCAAATCTAGAAACTGTCTCGGATGACTGCTCTCGATACAGAAACCGGGTTTGCATTTGCTCCAACCATCAGCTTTCATCTTTCTTTTGCCTCTACTCCCTGGTTGCTGCCACCATGAAGACCTAACTGGTGGAAGCCCATCCGCAACAGTGACTCCTGATACGAGACACAGCTGTCCACTGACCGAGCGGCTCGCATGTGTGGACGGCGCACCCAGCCCAGCTCCTGGCTGCTTGTGTTTCTACAGCCACTAACTTGGCTTTTGACATGTGAAACTTCTGAAGGTACAGTTTCAAATGGGGGATGGAAGGGAGCCAGAATACACTGCCCAAAACATGCCTCTCTGACAAAAAATTATTTTTAGCTCAAGACACTTAAAAGCACAGCAGGTGCAAGAAGGAAGCCCTGGCCCCAGCATTTCCTCCCAAGGGCTCCTCCCGTTAGCCTCTCTCCGTCAGCTGGGTTTTCAGGCCCAGCTGGGCCTCCCTGGAGCAGAGCTCCACACCCTTGCCTCCCCACACCCTCCACTGCTCAGATCTCCTCACAGGGTTGTGCCCCACCAGCCAGGAGGCGGCAGCCAGGCCAGGAGGGAGGCTTGCATGGAGCCCGGTCTCCTCCTGTGCCCTCCCTGAGAGGTCTGTGTGCCCCCTGCCCCTCACTGGGCGTGTTGAGCTCAGCAGTGCCACCACTAGAGCTGGTTCACACCACAGTGCTTACCTGGGCCACACAGGCTTGTGCCTGGGCAGGTGGTGTTGACATCCACCATGTCCACACAACACTCAGACTGCTGGCCCTAGAGGGGAAACAGTGGTCAGTTTCTAGACCCCGTGACCAGGCGGCTCATGCAGCACCTCTAGAGGTTGAAGGTGAGACCCCCATGGGTAAACGGCCCTGCCTCTATGAGGGGCTGGGACCAGCTGGCTCCAACCTTATTTCCTGGCACCCAGGCTGCAGACAGGGCACCTACCGTACTTTCTGAGGATTTGCTGGCAACTTCCACCAGGAGGCCAGCCAGGAGGATGGTGCGCTGGAGCGCCATGTCCCAAGAGCACGGGGTCTGCAACAGAGAGGGGTGCTGTGCAGCCACGAGGAAGGCGTGGGGGCAGAGGACCTGACCTGGCCCCGCAGGACGCAAGCTGCAGACATCCAGCTCCTCACCACCTGGTGCTCAGCGGTCAGGACTGCTGAGCTACCGGAGTCTCACGACCCAAGTCCTGCTGGTCCGAGGCCTGCAAATCAAGGTGCTGGGTGAGGCCCACTGCTGGTCACTGTGCAGCCAAACCAGGCGAGGGCCTTGGCCTCTGGTGCTCCAGGTCCCACTGGACTTCCTATCTGGAGCTCCCCCCGCCCCAGCAGGGGGACCAGAGGGGCTGTGATCAGCCCATTTGATCTGTGCTCTGAATGGCTACCTCTGCCCAACGGCTTCCAGGAGGAAGGACTGAGCAGGGAGGGTCGGGATGTGCTGTTCCTGCACATGAGCTCAGACAGGCTTTCCCGTCCATCACCTCATTCTGTCCTAGTAAAACTCTAATCCCGTCACAAGCACCTCCGCCCCAACACACACCTACTCGGTGGTGTCTTGCTGCACCCCCACTTTCTTCACAGAAAAGCAAAAGACATCACTGGGGTGACAATGGTCAGTATCTAAAATCATGACGCAGGGCCACACTAGAGCAGAAAAACTTTTGAGGGGTAGGGAACACAGAGCAAGACAGTGCCACACACTGCAGGCAAAGTTTCAACACTAACACACTTGAACTCAACTGGTGAGTGACTCAGAGCCTGAGCTGTCGCATTCCTAATGCAGCCAGACCTGCACAACCCCGATGTGATGGTTAGACAGGCTTTAGCAAACTTCTGCCAACGTCTAGGGTGGTGACCACAGCTGCAATCTGTCCAAATCACAGCACAATGAGTATTTTCTCATGTAAAAGTTCCCTCTGGGAACACCATGTACTTGGCAGAAACAGCACATGGAATTGCTCAGGTCAGTGAGCTCAAGGAAATGCAAACTAAATCTGCTGCTGGGCCATGAGGCCCCACGGGGCAGCTCTACCCCCAGGTATGTGCACAAGAGAAAGGAGAACATGCCACAGAAAATGGGTACAAGAATGTGCACAACTTTAGTCATGGGAGCCAAACCGGAGAAACCCCTGTCCCACCAGAGAGCAGGCCAGCAAATGTGGCATGTCCCCAGGAGCGGTGATGCAGGAACTGAGCTGGACACAAAGGGCAGGCGTGGTTCGGCTCTGTTAAAATGGAATTTCACACTGACAAATCTAAGGAGCAGTGGCAGAAACTGGAGTGCTTGCCTCTGGGGGTCAGGTCTGGGAAGGCTTATGAGGTTCCCGTCAGCTCTGGATAAGACAAGCCAGCAGAGCCCACACCTGTTTCTTACAGTGAAGGAGGCTGGAGGTCCAAAACTAGGGCCTGGAGATTTGGGTGTGTGAGGCCCCTTCCTGACTCACAGATAGGGCCCCCTTGTTGTGTGCTCATGTGGCCTCTCCTGGGTGCGTGAGCTGGGACAGGGGTCTCTCCCCTCTGATCAGGGCATCGATCCTACCATGGTCCACTCTCCAGACCTCTAGTCCCCCAACCACCTCCCGAAGGCCACACCTCCACCCTCACGCAGGGTTGGGGCTGCGACTTATGGACTTGGAGGCACAAACATTCAGCCCACAACACGAGGGGACCCTCAGGGACCACAGGAATGTTTTCGAGCACGATGGGTGTGCAGGTTCCACAGCTGGGCACATTTGTCAAAACTGGTGGAACTGGACTGTGCTCGTAACTACATGGGAATTACACCTCAAAACCAACTGAGTAAATGCAATTCCTTTTCTATTCTGAAAACCTTACTGGAGCCAAAAAGCTAAATAACTGGGTAAAACTATTTCTACAAGGTAATGAGAAATTCGGTGAGGTTTTAAATTGAACTATTTGTTCTCTCAGATTCTTGTTTATCCTTAGAAAACTGGCTTCAATAAAAAAATCGTCTTCGGGTCATGTGATTCTGAACAAGTCATGCATAAAGGTAACTGGGTGGACTGATTTTCAGTCAGTCGGTCAGAGGCTGGGTGCTGGCAGGACAACCATGTGCACAGGCTGCCCAACAGGCTTGCCTGGGCACCCACCAGGAGTAGGGGGACCCCCCACGGCCCCTGCCTTCCAGGCGCTGTGGCTGGAGGGGGGGCATGGGGGACAGGGGGGACAGCAGGAGGGGGGCAGCAGGTGTGCTGACCTTTCTGTCTCTCCCACTGTTGGGCACAGCACAGAGGGCCTGCTGGACGTCCACCCACCCGTGCAGGTTGGGCTGGTCACCTCCTAAGCCAGCAAAGGGAGCCAATGTGAAAAGCTGCTCTCAATCTAAGACATGCTTCTCCATCACAAAACCCTGTCTTGTGCTGGGGGAGAAAGTAAGAGTGGTCAACAGCTCTTCTGGACATAAGGGAAATCTTTCGGGGCCCTGGCCCAGTAGCTCCCTTGGCCAGAGCGTCCTCCCAACACACCAGGGCAGCGGGTTCAGTCCCGGGTCAGGGCACATACAAGAGTCAACCAGTGAAAGCATAAATGAGTGGAACAACAAATCCATGCTTCTCTCTCTCCCTAACATCAATCAATACATTGTTTTTTTAGTTTTGGGCTGGGCACACGCAGGGCACGCGCTGCCCACCGCTGGGGGTCAGCTCACCCAAGGGCTCTGCGTCCTGGGCAGCCGCCCAAGGGCCATGTGCTGCGGTGACCGCGGCCCTTGTAACTGACCCAGAACAAGGGGCTGGGGGGGGGCGTGGCCCTGGGGAGGCTGCAGCGGACCAGCCACTGAGCGACCACCTGCAGGGCTCCCTCCGCCCCGCTTTCGGGAGGGGGGCGGGGGCTGCTCGGCCACGAAGGGCAGCTTCCTGCGCCATCCGGGCTCCGTCTCCTCCCAGGAGCTGCTGCAAACAGCGCGGCCAGCAGGACCCTGGCTGGACCTGGCAGCGGGCGCCAAGGACGGGCCGCGGGGCCTTCTCCGCGCGGCGGCGACGCCGAGGAGCCGCGGACAAAGCGAGTCCGAGGGGACGGGGCGGGTCCGAGCTCCGGCCCCGACAGCTTCGGCAGAAGGTGCGCCGGCCAAAGCGCGGTTCCCTGAAATGCTGTGGAAAACGTACCCGAAGCGCCTGGCCTCGTCTCACCGGAGCCGAACCGTCTGCTTCACCGACGCGGGGCCGGCGCGCACCTGCGACCTGAAGCCCCGCGGCGGCTGAACCCGGGCTGTGTCGGGCGATAAGCGCGCAAACCTCAGGGAAGAGGCCCCGCAGGCCCCGGACGGTCCAGCGCGGCCGGACGCCGTGGGGAGGCGCCGGGGGCTCGGGGACGCGGCTCCAGGTCCCGTTACGGGGGCTCCTCAGGCCACGACGCCCGGGAAGGTCCGGTCGGCCCCCGGGTCCCCGCGGACCTT